CGCACCGAGTGCAACGCACCGAGTGCAACGCACCGAGTGCAACGCACCGAGTGCAACGCACCGAGTGCAGCGCACCGAGTGCAGCGCACCCAGTGCAGCGCACCGAGTGCAACGCACCGAGTGCAACGCACCGAGTGCAGCGCACCAAGTGCAACGCGCCGAGTGCAACCTACTACTACTACTACTACTACTACTACTACTACTTCCCCCTTTCAAATCTTTGGGTCGGAAAAGGCTGCTGCGCTGCATATACTGCATTGGTTGCTGTGGGTTGCAGTAAGTAGCAGGAATCGAGCCTCAGGCCGTAGCATGTCATAGTTTGGATACTCTGGTGACTATGGCCGAAGTTGGATCTTGTCATAGTTTGCTTCCAAATGCCTCAGGACGCCAGTCAGATCAGCGATTGCAGCGGTCCCACTTGCAATCGGAAATTTGAAGAATCTGGGCATTGTGAGGAATTTGGTCTCTCCATATACCAAGTCTTCCTCAACCCGGTTGTTAGTGGTGTAGTCAACTCGTCCACTATCTCAAGCATCTGGTTGGCGTACTCCAGACGACTACTCTAGAAGATACGAAGAAAGCATATTTTCAAACAGAAGTGGACGGTTTAGTCAGGGAGCTAAGCACGGTTTCAAAAAGAAGAAAGGACCTCGATAAAGAGGAAGGGCGGACACCGTCCGATGTCCAAAATTGCGGTTTCAAATAGGAGAACAGCGCGGCGGTGAAATACCCTCCACGCAAGAGTTCCGGCCTGGGCGAACCAGGCGCCAGCACAGGAGTGCTATCTTTCGGGGTCTAGCTAGGTCTCCCCAAGTAGATGTAAAGAGAACACGTTGAAAGACTATGTTTACAGTCTGTTCGAAGGATGTGACAGGAGCCCTCACCACTCTTTTGAGAAGTTTGGTACCCTTTGTGAGAGAAAATGTTAACATTTTGATAGAGTTCTAAAAATGAAATTAAACAATGGATGCTGACCAGAAGGTCTATGAGTCTATGCGCATTATCTTCTATTTGATACTTCTACTTTATAGATAGGGATTACAATGGACTGCAACCTAGTAGGCCTCCAACCTAGTAGTGATGGCCTCCAAGCTAGTAGCAATGGCCTCCAACCTGAGAGCGGCGGCCCACAACCTGTTACTAGCGGCTATTTAATATTTTCTCAAATATCTTCTATTTCTCTACTTTAAAGATAGGAATTGCAATGGCCTGCAGCCCAGTAGCGGTGGCCAGTAGTGGTTGCCTCCAACCTGGTAGCTAGTAACGATGGCCTCCAACCTAAGAGCGATGGCCTCCAACCTACTAGCTGTTATTTAATCTGTTTTCTAATATCTTCTGTTTGAAAATGCAATGACTTTAGTAGCGATGCCTCCAACCTAGTAGATGACGTCCAACCTAAGAGCGATGGCCTCCAACGTTCGGAGCCCGGACCATTTTCGATGTCGGACTAAGCTCGAGGAACGAGGGCCTACAAACTTGCCCTTATCCTTTCACACTGTTGGCAATTGACCGGCGCAGGGAAAAACCGCGGTCACTGCACCATTGTTTTGCACGGCCCACCTTTCATGGGTCGCGCCTTCACATCAATGTATTCTTTGCAGACCTTTGCATGGATTGGGACTATGTCTGAATCAAGAAGGAAAATGACAGACAATGTGAGCCAAGAGCAATTCCAGGTGAGAGTATCGCAGCTTCCCTCTTGGCATTTCGTCTGTTCTGCAAGGACCCATCCCTCGTGGACCTTGCCCCGATGGCAAACAACGTATACCTTGTTCTCTCCTTGATCAACCTATCCTATATATATATATATATGTATGTCAAATTGAATGTACACTGAATGATGTAGGTTCCTCCTGCGCACACGGTCTTACAAGTTCACGACCGACCAGTGCACTTTCAAATACAAGCAATTAATCAAAATGATATGAGAGAGAAGAACGCATGAACTCGTGTTCCTTGTCCGGACTTTGGCTGGCTTCCCACCTTCTTGCACCTTTTCCCACAATGATGTAGAGAATCCAAAAGCCGACCAAATTGCAATGAAACCAATCAGAAGATATTGAAATGGCCTGGTATATTGCGCTGACGGCAGATGACATCGCACACCCTGAGATCCCACACCAAAGCCAAGGACCAACGCAATCCACAAGCCACCAGCAGTGGGTGTGAGCTAGAGCCTGTTAAGATTTTGATAGAGTTTTAATAAGGGAAAATGACATAATTTGCTAGAGAGGGGATTGTGGAACAATGGATCGCAAGGGCCAATGGACCGGCCAAGGACTGCCTCTCTCTCTCTCTCTATCGCCCCCTCCCTTCTTGATCCTTTGTTTCTCTCATTTGTGCCTGAAAGGTCAGGTTTCCCATGCCACGCCAGCCATCTCACTTGATCCATAATTGTCGGGCGGGCTGCGGGCGGGGTGGGTGGATTGCTGATGCATACCTTCTATTTATTTAAAAACGTGCTGGAAATCGACGGTATTAAATTTGCAAGTGATTGATCCCTCCCTCTGCCACCAAGGTGGGTCACGCCGTTGAGGCGGAGTTGCTGATCCGCTGCCAGCGCCCGCGTGTCCTCCATTGCTTCGGCGTGGCGGGCCGGCGCGTGCTGCTGGAACTCATGTCCGGCACACTGTCGGACGTGAGGCCGTGAGGCTGTACAATGGCCAGCTGCCGGCCCATCATTACGAACAAGCGTGCCGAGAAGCTCGAATATGATCGAATTGAAACGAAAGTTGGAAGACAAGAGTCGTTTTTGAAGTTTGCAACTCACAAGTTGTCTATTATTCTTGAGCATCCCAGGAGATATTGGAAGGCCTGGCGCACCTCGACACGCTAGGTGTTGCCCATAGAGACATCAAGCCAGACAATGTGCTGGTGTCTCAAGTTGACCCACCTTGCGGCTGCAAGCTGGGCGACTTTGGGTTAGCAACTGTCCAACCGAGGGAGAGCCGGCCTTGGCAGAAGTGGCCCTCCAAAAGTTTGGGTTACGACTCTCACCTTCACCTATCTAAAGTTGACGCAATGAAACCATAAACTTGGGATTGAACCATGGGTTCGGTTCTGTGGTGATTGAGCTGAGAGATTGCAAGGATTGTTGGCACCTTGCCCTTCATTGCCCCTGACATGCTGCTAGCCCGCAGCTGCGACCTCAAGGTGGATGTATGGGCGTGGGCTTTAACATCGTATTGGTTGCTGTATGGTGACCTTCCATGGGATTTGGGGCCCAAGCCCCCGCCACTCAGATGAATATGGACTCGGCCAACGAGTGAACATCGCCCGAACATGCCTGAGATTGATATATAACCGAGGCTGCTACGCCAAGAGCAGGATGCCTTGCTGAAGATTCAAATTCAGCGAGAACAGATCCTGCCGAAGCCTCAATGTGTTACTGTTGGCTAGTGCCACAACTCTCAGCTTTTGAAAGCTCTTTCCTCTCAGGTTCAACAAATGCGGTAAGGGATGCAAAGAGATCCTTCAGCTGCTCCGGTGAGCTTTAAACCGCAAGCCGCAACGTCGGTGTAGTGCGGATGAGGCTTTGAGCCACCAATGCTTTGCATGGGAAAAGCAGCCGAGAATTCAGACCTGGATGGCGTTGCAGACAATATAGTTTGTTGCTGAGTGATGATGCATTTGATTGCATTCAAAGCACATTGTGGCGGCGATCAGCGACTGCAGCTACTCGAGAACCAGCGCACCAAGTGCAACGCACCGAGTGCAACCTACTACCATTGTCTGTCACTACTACTACTACTACTACTACTACTACTCCTACTGCTACTGCTACTGCTACTGCTACTGCTACTGCTACTGCTACTGCTACTGCTACTGCTACTGCCGACGACGACGACGACGACGACGACGACGACGACGACGACGACGACTACTACTACTACTACTACTATAATACTACCACCGCACCGAGTGCAATGCACCGAGTGCAACGCACCGAGTGCAACGCACCGAGTGCAACGCACCGAGTGCAGCGCCCCGAGCGCAGCGCGCCGAGTGCAACGCACCGAGTGCAACGCACCGAGTGCATCGCACCGAGTGCAACGCACCGAGTGCAGCGCACCGAGTGCAACGCAGCGCGCCGAGTGCAGCGCACCGAGTGCAGCCGAACCCGAAAACACCACATTACACCCAGTCACGCTTACCCGCTACACTGAGGAGTTGGGTGTGTGGGTTGGTGGAACATGTAGGATTTGAAAGAGGTTCTACCAAACTCTGCCAAGCTGCAACCAAGCACTCCAGCAAAAAGTACAAACCATGTCCGTATAAGCATTTGGACATGCTCAGACGCATGGAACACACTTTGCTGGGCGGAACATCGGCTGGACAGCCAGCACACCCCTGTGCTTCATGGCACACTCCCCAAGCGAAGATGAAGTCAAACAACGTGGTGTTTGATGCGTTTGTATAGGAAGGAGATGGAAGGAGGGAGTTTCTGAAGGGTTCGTTGGGCTGTTGGACCCTGTTGCAAGCTGAATTGCTGTGCAACAGCATCTCGTCCTCGGCGTCGCCCTTTCAGTGTCACCCTTTCGTCGGCGGGTTGCGTCGTGGGCGATGGATCGACTCGCAGGTCACTCTACGGCGCGGTGTCACCCTGGATCTTCCTGGCCACTGCGCCCGCGCACTCGCTGTTGAACTGGGGCACGGTGAGTCTCATGCCCAGGATGGGAGCAATGGCTGTGGTCACCAGGCACAGATTGATGGAGGTGACGGGGTATGTGCCCTCCTTGCAAGAAAGATGGTGGACGCATCCCCTGTTTGTAGAGGATTTCATGGTCATGTGATTCACTTCCATGAGTGATGGAGGGAGGGTACATAGATTGGAGTGGATGTGTCCCCGCCCCCCATGTGGTTCCAAGAAGATACAGGGATTTCAAAAAGTTAAAGAGCTTTGTTGGTCAATGTTTAATGAATTTTCCTTTTGATGAAAGGCTTTACCAACAAGGAAGTGGACAATGGTGGTTTGGAAGACTACTTTCCGAATACATCCGAATACCAACAGGCAATCTCCACTTCCATGTTAGTGAGTCAGAGTGTACCCCATGTTTTTGTGCCCGATGTTTTGAAGCATTGATGGTAACCCAATCAATCAATCCCAATCATATATAGTTTTTTCATGTTTGGACCAACGTCTCTGTCTCAAGGATGAAAACCGGATGGTCGTAGGTCACACAAGGTCCAACGTATCCAAGGGTGGTTGGATCGGGTCCGCTCTTGTGGGCAACTTGTGGGGCCCCAGGAACTGCTTCTCTTCACCGTTGCAGCTGCTTCACTGTGTGGTGCGCTGGCGATTTGGGACCTTCTACCACCATGAACCTCTGTCCCGCGCGGGTGTGTCGGAGCGGTGCACAGTCCCGCGCAGGTGCTGAAAAGGTCACAGATGCCCCGAGAGAACCTGAGTGGAGTCGGTGGCGGACGCGTGGCGGCGTGGACCCTTCGCCGGTTCCGGAGGGGCTTTCTGCTTGGACGATGAAGATGGTATTCGATGTGCAGGAAGATGAGGACAAACCGTTAACAGCCAACCATTTACATCAATCTACCAAAACATCCAAATAAATTCCAATTATATAACAACTTTATAATATGGATGCCATTGTCCTTGAGCTGACAAGAGACTCAGTAGACCAGGTAGACTGGGCTTTGGCTGCTTGGTTTTTGCTGCTTTCACGAATTGCAGCCAGGCTCAAAGGTCAAGAAGTGAACTGAGCATGAGTCCATTATATATTCGCATAAAAATTGCAGACAGAGGTTGTTTCCCTGAAAAAGAACAGACCATTGAATTTTCTTGATGCTTGTTGACGCCGTTGTTGCCAAAAGGAATGCCAGGCAACTGGGCTCCATAGGAATAATATGGCATAACTGCATAGCATTGAAGGTTTATGACCAATTCGCGTCTTCCAAGCTCCTAGAATGAGTTGAATGCCCGACCCATGCCAAAGCTGATACCTCCAGCTCGGGCCCAGAGTGGCCCAACCAGCTCGGGGCCAAATGCTCCGCAGTGACACACCAGACCAGCGAAGCATGTGAGCCACACCAGCTGACACACCAAACCCGTAGCCTCGCACCCCGTGCCCTGCTCACACCGTAGCTGAGTACGAACCTCGAATCGGCGCCTCATGGCCAAAACCGGGAAGAAGCCGCTCAAGAAGGCAGCGGATCGGTGCTTTGGCAGCGGATCGGTGGTTCGGATCATTGCCTTGGTCATGGATTGGACAAACGATCCGGCAAGAACGTATACCTAATGCACAAAGTCTTACAAACCCGCGCCCCGCCGACTTGTGCATCCGATTCAATCATCTTCAAATCCAATCGATGTCAACATCGCAGGGCTCTTGCGAAGCTGTCAGACCCGGTGTTCCTGTTGCGACCGGGGTCCGAGGGGTGTGGGTCCCTCCGTTGGTTTTTACAGTGTTTTTGTTTTACTGTGGATCCAATCTAAGTGTTCCAAAGAGTCGAATTTCCGCTATGGAACATATAGACCTGGTGAGTGAAAGTGAGCATGGTGAACACTTGAGCATGGAGAGTGGATGGGCTGCTCGCAGGGACTGCCCGGACATCTATCTATAGTGAAGAACCAGAAATGGTGGAACCTCGGAGTGATGGCCTCCAACCTAGAACCCTGGGAAGGCGTCGTTCTTGTTCAGATCCGAAGCCTCCCGTCCGACGGAGTTCCCATGTTCCGAAGGCCCGACCAAGTGTCCCATGTGGTTTGGATCAAGACTGTCGCTTATTGAGAAACATGCAACATGAGTTGAAACATGTATTTTGATCAAATTGCGGGAAATCCCGCAGAGATGTGGAATTGTGCTGAAGCTTTCAACTCGAAGGAAATCAAGGTGAGGTAGTCCGCCCAGATCACCTTGCAGATCCAGTGAACAAAAACCAGTTTGATACTCTCCCTAAGGACACCCGTGAGGGTTCATTTTGCTTTGCTAGGTAAAGCAGCTGTGCTGGGGTGATTTTGCTAGGTTTCTTTGACATGCACACTGTAGTTACACACCCCGTGTAGCTAATCCTGTAGCCAGCCTTTGCGTGATTGCAGACTTGCATCAGAACTCACTCGAACGCTGCCATGGTCTACCATGCGCGGACGCTGTCCTCTCCACTGTCAGCCTTTCCGCCTGCCTCTCGGATAGAAAGTTCGACCAAGGGAGGCCGGAAAAAGCTGTGGTAAGTTGTGTCGACTGCAAACGTTCGTTTGGTTTGTGGACAACCTGTGACAACCTGTTGAGTCTTTGAAAGGAATTTTGTCGTCCTGTGACCCTGACCATCCACCAAATCATCATAAATCATGTTGTCCTTTGGTTTGTGACTCTTGGCGGTTTTCGGATGTGTCAATGCGCTGATTGTTCAATCGAAACATGCCACTTAGGATTGCTACTGACCGGGTTCTCACCGCGACACCACATGAATCAAAGTGGCAACTCCACTCTCCTCAAACCCTTTAGAGACGGCGGGGTCTAGAATACGGCGAGGTCTGCCTTGCCAAACTGCCGCAGAAATCTTTGCAGGTCATGCGGCCGCAAGCCTTCACGCAGGTCATGCATGAGCAGCGTGGCAAGGTTTGTGGGGGAAGCGGATGTGTCCCGGAACATGTGCAGGTTGAAGCTTTGAGTGTTCCAGGTGAGCTTTCTGCACTCCTGGAAAGGATTGTCCTACGAAAGTAGATAAAGACATCTTCAAACTCATGGCCCATTGATGTATAGCCTGTATAGCTATAGCTGTCACATGTGCCTACGTCCCTCCACCATGGCCTTTCAGGTATGGCTTCATGGGAAGGGACGTCGACGAGAAGCTATGCTTGCATTCAAAGGCAAAGGCGAAGAAACTCTATCTCTCGCCCTTTCGCCAGGAGACACCGACCGGACCGTGACACGACGGATGGATGGTAGTGAGAACGAAGGGATGAGGACACGAAGAGAAGAGTCATGAAGGGTGTTTGGTTTTGGAGGTCTTCAGTCCTGGTGCTTTGCCGCGTTTTGTGGTTGGTGTTTCGGAGGGTTTCGGTCTGTGTTGGTGCAGCAATGTGCAGCATGTTTACAGCCCAACGAACCTTGGTGTTTCAGGTGTTGTAGGTGTGAATTCCTCAATTCCTCGTGATGGCCCATGTCCATCCACACTAGTCTTCTGCGATGACTTGGGGTGTCCTATGACCTGCAACAGTCAATAAACAAGAACGTCACTAGTTTAGAAATGTCGGCCTGCAACCTATCCATCCATCCACAGGGACCGAGGTGTTTGGGATATACCGCCATGATCCGCCATTGTCATGATGGCAACCTTCAAGATCTGGCGGTATATGCCAAACACCATTTGCTTATATGATCCGCCGTTATACCCATTATCCAGATCCATCTTGAATCAATTTCAAGATCTGCCCAACCAGACACCTTCGGACGATGCGCCCACGAAGCCGATCTTATTGTGGAGCCAGCGATCCATTTGCGCAGAAGGAGCAAAAACCTACTGGACCAGCAGAAGCTAAGATACCCAAAACTGATCACAAGGGCATGATGGCACAAGTCTTTTCACAAGAAAATCAGATGTCTCCATGTCAACATCATGTCCAATTTGCCATTACCCTTAGCTTCTGGTGCTCTCCCATGACATCCTCCAGTCAGACCGGCCAGGAGGAGACCACCAAGTGGGTCATCGATCGGGTACCGCTACCCGAGCCACGTGGAGCTCCGCGGGTTGGCTTGGCCAGTGATGCCAAGGCAAGTGGGGCCAGAATGCTCGTTCGTCGTATGTCTGGGTCCATATGATATGATTCCATATGTGGGAGGGACCAGAAGTCTGGGAAGAAATGCTCTCCCAAAAAAGGACAATATGTAGATATATGTTTTGGTGTGTATATTATACCATGTAGATCATCCGTGGATACACACTCAATATTCGTATGTAGGAGAAGGGGGTTCTCGTGTCAAAGCTGGAATTGAGTGGAATGTTGTTGGGGTCAATCATCATGCTGAATCACAGGTAGTCATGTTGCTGTAGGCAGCTTCTGATGCGAGGTTCTTTTTCCCCAACTAGCTTGCCCTTGTGCTTTCTCACAGCGGTGACGGAATCAAAAAGGCCCGGCTCCAATCGATTGCATGCAGTTGGGGAACTAAGTCTTATTGCACCATTCCAGGTTTTGAAGCCAGTTGCACCATTACACTTGCTTGTTGACACGATTGGACCAGCAGGATCGGGTACTACAGCTCAACGCTCGAGCTCAACGCTCGACGTGCTTGCGACCGACCGACGAGACGGTATACAGAAGGGTGTAGGCTCTTGATGATATGTCAACCCCGGCAACCCCATATGAAGAGGTTGTTTACCATATATTGTACAATCCATGGGGGTTTGCCGGGGTTTACATAACCATATATATATATATTACAATCCATGTTTGTTTTTTTTCATCCAGAGTCTACATTCAAGCGGCAGGATATACAGAATATCAAGAGTCCATTCATTTGTTGGATGGGTATGTCTTGGAAGACCCCTGTCGGCGCCGCGACGCACAGGAGATCGTTGCGAGGGCAAGGAGGCTGATCATCAACGCGAAGGCACACGAACCGATCACCAGGGACATGGCCTCCAACCGGCAGAAGCTGGTTCAGGCCACCTGGAGCTCCTTTTTGACCAGATCCCTCTTGGTGCTTCCAAGAGGTCCCTTTTGACAGATCACTTCATCCACAATTCACAGTGGATGTCGTGGACTTCATCTGTTGTACGTGTTGGCGATATTCGAGAGCCCCGATTGACAGAACATCAATACCACGTGCCGGATAGAAGCTTGCCAGATCTGCCATGGTTGTTCGATGTTTCCTTGGACAGCTTGGACGCCTTGACAGACAATCCCCGTAAACTCAGGCATAAGAAGAGGTGATGACTTCTCCCCTTTCCTGGACCTTCATTTCAAAGAAGTAAGTGCAATGTCAAAAGGCACCGAAAACCGAATCCACATCATGACCATACGAACTCTTCACCTCCATTTTTGACCGCTCGCTCTTGAAATCCCCAGCCGCCAAGCCGCCATGGTCGTTCACCGAGTATACGCGTTCACCGAGTCTGCCCAGTGGCGGCCCGAGTCGACCATTGGAGGCGCAACTGAGCGCCTCGTGGGACCAGATCTTCATCAGCCACGCGGAGGAGCTGAGCTTCCAGGAGCCGTGAGACAAGCCATCGATCCAACTGGATGATATAAGGCGGGTGGAAGGAGACATGAAGCGAGCGGAATGGAATCTGGATGGGTTTGGTGTGGATTTTGTTGGGAGATGTCCAGATGGTGAAGTCAAGATGAGGACTGTAAAGGCACTTAAGTACTTGAGGACCTTGAAACGCTCCGCGCAGGCGCGTAGCTCGTCTTAGGAGCTCAAGAAGGTCCTGCGAAGGGATCTGGCCATTTCTCCAAAGGCCTTATCGGACTTCGATCTCAAGGTGCGGTGGGGTTGGGCACGCGGGATGATGAGACGACTAGCGGGATGAGACACGCGAACTTCTGTGGTGGTGGAGAAGGGGTGGATGATTTGGTTGATTTGGATGATTGGGACCCTTCCAAGAACTGAGAGATGAATAAAGACATAGCATGTATTATGAAGGGCTCGTTTTCACTCACCCCTGGGTCTTGCTCCGGAGCCAAGCAATATCGAGCGGCGAGATCCTCTCGCTCCTCAGGTCACACAACGAGGAAACCAGGAAATGTGATGAGTCGACTGTACCAAGGACCCACCAAGGTCTGTGATCGGTCTTCCTCTAAAAGACCGGCTGAAGCCTTTCACTAGAGAGACCTTCTCTTCAGCACTCTGGATGGAGAACTTGTGGTGCTCGACTCTGCTCGACAGAGACCCCAATCAATACCCTTTGTGCATCAGAGATCCATCCTGCGAGACGAGGGTGTTTGGGATTTGGCACAGTCCATCTCTCCATATCTCTCCAGAGCCTTTTTGGGTTCTTACTGGTGTAGCTTTTTCCAAAAACAAATTTATGGGTACCGGGTAGCTCCTGGCCTTACTACTAGGAACAAGAAGCTACTAGGAACAAGGGCATCGCTACTAGTAACAAAGGCATCGTCGTTTGCAGCAAGAAGCTTTTATGTTTGTTCTGATCTTCCCGTATGGCGATGATTAGGATCCCTTTTCAGAAATCGTGGTTGCTATAC